GCTGAACCTCACTAAAAGGGTATGGGTATAAAACAGAACCCTCTCCTGCCTAATGACTTGACTCTTCACTCTAGTACACAACCTAAACGAGTCAACAGCTAACCTCCTATTAATTCACTAGTACGTATTAGCTACCAAATATTTTCTTACCTTGAAAAATGATTGCTTTATGTCTTGTCCCAATCTCTCTGACATTTTACCCATGTTGTCTGACATTTTAGTCATTCCCTCTGCCAGGCTGTCAGGGAGAGACTTGACTGCGTTTGATACATTTCTCATAGAGTTACGCAGTGGATTTACAAATGTGTCCATCTGAAGGGGAAGACGTTTAACCAGAATTGTATAATCTATGAGGACACCAGGCTATTAATACACTATGAGAAGTATCACACTGTTCCAGAGAACAATAACAAAAAGAACGACCCAAATTGCTTAACTTTATTACAGAATGCAGAATAAAGTTTCAACTTCACTTTCATGTGCAGTTCGCCTTCCTTACAGCCCTTCTGTAGCTATTTACATCTTTCAGCAGATCTTCTTCCTGAGTCACTTCCATTTCCCATCCCTCAGCTTTTCTTAGCTTGAATTTATTTTCCTTTTCTTCTCCATTCAATGCTAGCTCTCCCTTTTAAGCTTCCTACTTCCAGATGCTTCACTGCTTCCAACTCATCATTTCTGAAACGTGCCTCTTTTAAACAACTCTGGTGTAATACGTTTTAATATCATGGCAAGTATAACTAAAAACATAAAGTAGCTCCATAGAAACTGTCAGAATTTTTCTTTCAGCCTATACTCTAAATTCAGTCCAAAGAGAGGCACATATACTAGTGTGACGCCCTTTAGAAGTCAAATTTATGAAAAATCTGGTAAGTTGGAAAACAAATCTCACTCCATCATTACGTAAGCCTTGATAAGTATTTAACTGTTCCACTGTGAGATATTTAATGAACATGGGCAGAACAACAGCTTGAAGTGACAACATGTCAAAATTGCTAAGATTTCAAAAGAACTGTATTTGCAAAGCAGATGCCCACTGAAGAGAGTTCTCGCGTCTTAACAAAAACGATGCTCAGCTCAGAGTTCTGAATTTGACCAGTGACTCTGAATGGTTTCAATGGTTAAATATATAACATGCTTTTGAAGGGAAATGCATTTCACGTTTTGGGCTCAAGAGTGGAGAGCATGGTAACAGCAGCAAATACAGAGTAAAGAACTGAAAAAAAGAAATTGGAAGATATGAGACTACAAAAAAAAAAAGTCACAGATCTCTGACAGAAAGTAACTTGCAATAAACACACTTCTAAAATAAGTCTTTGCCCAATACACTGTCTGATCTGAAAATTTAATTTCCTTATCATACGAATAAATTTACTTTTATAAAAACCGTAAATTTTTGCTTCCATATGCCGTCAGACACTTTGCCACACACGAAGTATTAAAGCAACTCACTTGCGAGTTGCTTTGAAAGTGCCCTATAGCTGTTTATACCAGTTTAACATCTATGTTTAACGCAATCATTGCACTAACAAATGCTCTAAATTTACCTTGACAGCGCAAAACATTCTTACCTTCCGTGCAAAATCCCCCTTTCCTTTGCTGTAGGCTTTATTCTCCAGGAAGTCATACACATAATGGGCTAAAGCTGGAGAAGCCTTCATCATTTCAGGATTTAACAAGAGCTGAGTAAAATAATTTTTAAAAGGTGCTTTTTAATAAATAATGAGAAAGGTCATTCCATTGAGTTCAGTAAAAGTTTACCATGCACAAAGACACTACATCTTGCAATGCTTTTTCTCACTGATTCTTTAAATTTGATTCCAGCGTTACACTATTCTTATGAGGGAAACAATATGCTTCTTGGTAACACCCATAATTTTAACTAGTGTGTTAATTACACCATCTCACAGAAAAATACAGAACTTTATGACTACCCAAATTGCTTCTAAAACTCCAAGGAGAAAAAAAAAGACAAACTCTGTAACTAAAAAAAAATGTTGCTATTAAAAGCTGAACACATACCTCACAAAGGAAAAAATATAAGCACTCTAAACAGAACAATCAGATTTCACAATGTTTTATTCATCTTCCTTATTCACTGTTAACATGTCCATTGAGTTTTATTAGTATCAGTATTCTAGTGCTAAATTAGCACAAAGTCCTCTGAAGTAGGGACACTGAGTTCCTTTACTTGGGGTGACACAGGCGTTTTCTAAGGAGAGAAGTTACGTGGTTGTGCTACACGGCCGGACCAGGTGCGTCACCAATCTTTAGGCAACAGCACAAGAGAGAAGAACCACAAACTCAGGTGTAACAGAAGAAAGTTCAGCGCCTCCAAACCTCACCGGCTCAGAAGAGCTGGGACTGAACCAGCTGAGAATAAACCAAAACAGCAAAGATGAACTTAGACAATATAAAGTTTTTAGGATGTACTTTTTTAGATTCTATACCATCTCGGAAGAGCTGGGACTGAACCAGCTGAGAATAAACCAAAACAGCAAAGAAAAGATGAACTTAGACAATACAAAGTTTTTAGGATGTACTTTTTTAGATTCTACACCATCTAAAGCACATGCTAACAGATTTTGTAACTCACAAAAAATAATTCCAGTGTAGAATACAATCAAAAAAGAGTAACAGCTTACCTGCAAGTATGCATTTAAATCTTTTTTCCTCTTTTCCAAAAATTCTCTGTCCATATTGTTAAATGTCTTTTTGCCAGGAAGTTTCAGTATGTTTGCAAGGTTTTCAAACTAGGAAAAAAAAAAAAAGGCATGACTTCTTTGTTCTGCTTTGAAAAGAGTTTCAAATAACCATGTAAGTTCAGAAATTATAGGGGTCATCAAATTCACCTATTCTTATCTTCCATATAGCAACTTGGCGTATAATTTCTGCATGAAAGGTAACTTCAACTCCATTTTAAATCAAGCAATTATTTTCTCTGAAAAAAATAATAGAATAATCCCTGCCCTTCCTATTAATTTCAAATGGAAGATTGTAACCTTTAGCCCTAACATGTCAATAAGACAGGTGTTCGCTGTATCACTGACACTCCTGTGCCCACAAACTCAGTAGAAATGTCTGTTGTATTGTCAAAAGAAAGTTAAAATTGTTGTGAGTTTCTGAGATGTTACAAAGTAGTACAGGAATCTTTTTACTTTTCGCAGTCTTAGTGTTGGAGGATAATGTTTCCATTTTCTGTAAGTTTGAAGAACTTGGATTTAGCAACCAGAGGTTTCTGAGCTTTCCCGTTTTGAAAATTTTTGCTTCTGCCATTTTTTTTTTCTAGTCATTTACTGGTACGGCAGTTTTAAATGACTGCCCCATACCCACAGAACATTATCTCACTGTAAGGTCAGGAATCCATACCTGTTTCAGCAGGTCAGGGATTCTTCAAAACACTTAATTTTTAAAAAAATAAATTTAAAAACCCCAATAATTTGTATTTCATATTTATTGACAGCACACTAAGATAATCACAAATTCAAAACATTTACTTTTTCAGTAAAGTCTTTTGTATTTGTACTACTGTTGTAATTTTACAACACCTAAGCTACCTGCATAAAATTTGTTCTCTGAATAACAGAGTAAAGGGATGTATCCAACACTTCTGATTAGTTCACACAGTCAAATCCAGCTTCTCCAAAGCTTGGTTTAAAAGTATTTCACCCTTCTCTTAAAAGCACTGCATTTTTGACACTTTTTCAAGTCAGCAGGTTCTACTTTGCACCAGCTGGTGAATTACAAGTCTCTGTTTTTCCTTCTTTCATTTTAGGACAGTTAGGAGCCTGAGAACACAAGCAGAGCAATAAAAGGCAGATTGTGGAGCAGTACACTGAGCCGCCAACAGCTGTCCCCCTTCTGAGATGCCACCGAACCTTAACACTTCACTTCAAATCTAACCACCTACTTCACAAGCTCAGTTTTTATTTCTTAATCCCTGTGACAAATACAACAAATGAAATACACCACTGAGACCAGCTGCCCTTTGATATAAACATTTTAAAGCAAATGGGAGGTGGGGGGATATGCTTTTTAAGCTCCATTTCCTTTTCTTAGAGCAATTATAGAGCCATCAGATACCAAGCGGTATAAATGAGCACCTGTAAGCTACTTGGTACAAATACTGCATGGTACAGACAGCAAAAAAAAATTACACTTCAATGGAAAATGACACAGAATCACAGAATGTCAGGGGTTGGAAGGTTCCTCGAAAGATCATCTAGTCCAGCCCCCTGCCAGAGCAGGATCACCCAGAGCAGGTCACACAGGAACACATCCAGGCGGGTTTTGAATGTCTCCAGAGCAGGAGACTCCACACCCTCCCTGGGCAGCTTGTGCCAGGGCTCTGTCACCCTCACAGGGAAAAAGCTTTCCTAATGTTTTTGTGGAACCTCCTATGCTTCAGCTTGTACCCATTGCCCCTTGTCCTGTCTTTGGACATCACTGAGAAGAGGCTCCGTCCTCCTGACTCTCCTCCTTGACATATTTATGAACATTTATGAGGTCACCCCTCAGCCTCCTCTTCTCCAAGCTAAAGAGACCCAGCTCCTTCAGCCTTTCCTCAGAAGGGAGATGTTCCACTCCGTCCATCACCTCTGTGGCTGCGCTGGACTCTCTCCAGCAGTTCCCTGTCTCTCTTGAGCTGAGGGGCCCAGAACTGGGCACAAGATTCCAGACGTGGCCTCACCAGGGCAGAGCAGAGGGGCAGGAGGACCTGACATGGTGCTGTAATGACGTGGTGCTGTAACTCCACATCTTAAGTTACTTTGAGAGAGCCAATACTCGTGTCATACCAGAAAAACACCTCCCGAAGAATCCTCCAGAGGAGGTTTCTGAGATTAATTACCTGCTCGGTGATCCTCATATGAAAGTCATGGAAGTCACTGTAGCGTCGATATGTCTTCCAAGTCTCTTCACTGTTTGGGCCTCGCCGATGGACTGTGATAGCGTACAGTGCGTATGTCTTGCCATGGTCATTACACACTCCTGCCACAGCATATGGGTCATAGTCAGCATAGACTAGTTGTTTAAAAAGAAAAATAAAAAAAAGGAACAAACAGAAAGAAGGAAGACGAAAGGACACAAACGTGAAGTGAAGAAATGTCCGGAATGACAGACTTGAGACACAAAAAATGGACATGCAGGCAGAAGAGTAAGCCATCCTTTTAACCAAAACACTGCCTAGGCAATACCCTCCAGAAACTTATGTAAACTTAAATATAGAGATTAAGCAGCCTTAAAATTAGACAAGTTTCACTGACATGCAAAACATAAGAAAAAATAGAAAAAGTTTAAACTTCTAAGAACAGTGAACAGATCTTTAAAAAAATAATTTTAACCTAAAGAACTTAAGATATGAATGAAAAAGAAGTGTGAGAACAGAACTACTGCAAAGTACTCTAGTCATGTTGCAAAACTGCGTCTGTCAAAAAAAATCTGTAAATATAAGACAGCGCTACCAAGATGTAAGCATTTGGTTTTGTTATTAACATCAGTAGTTCGTTAACTAAGATGAAAATACCTCCCACACGACTTAAGTCAACAGAAATGTTATACATACCCCCACACATACGTATTCTGTATATGTGTGTACATATATAATGTATTCTCTGTGTGTACACACACACACAGTTTACCGAGAAGTCAATTTATAAATGGAAAGAACACAGTCAGTTATATTAAATAGAAGCAAATATCTCTCTGTTCTCCACTAAAAACTTCAGTTCTCATCACAGAATTCCTCCAAGTACAGAGTTTCCTCAAGATCTTCCACTTAATGCAGAGAATAACTGAGAAGCAGTACTGCTCTAACTGCACACTATTTGAACTGGAAAGGGGATGTACCTCGAAGTACCAAGCTCTGCCCTGCAGCCACCACACCACTCCTCAGAGGGGCTGCCAAGCTGCAGGTCAGGAGTGGCAGAAAACACAAACAGTTGTCCCCTTCACCCTTATGGTCACAGCCTCCTAAACAGGATTTGTTTTCCAACACAAGACACGGTGAATCCTCAAAAGTATGGACAAGATCTTCTACGTTCCCCACAAGCACAATAAGGGGCAGTGACCAGCAGAGGAAAGGAGCTTGAGCACCTACTGCCCCGTAGCACCCAGAAAGCCGGGACTTGCATTTCTTGTTTAAACATGAGGTGAGGAGAAAGACAACGTCCAGTTTACTCCTATCTTACAACATGAACCTGTACATATTCCCTGGTTTCACTGGGCTATCACGGATTCCCAGGCAAGCTGTGGTTATCAACATGTTGCCATCAAGGTTAGAAATTTATCAGGATTTGTGTGGTGCTAAGCTTACCTCTCCCCTCAGATCCAAACAATCAAACTTCTAAGTTTATTTCAGAAAAAAAGTATCACGTGCCATTTTAATAAAAAAAAAGCAAAACTGTGATTCTTAACTTTTGAATGATTTTCCCCTTCTCTGAGGACTGAGTGTGAGAGATTTGGATTGCACCATCTTCTCACATTGTGCTGAAATAACAGAGTTTAATTAAAATGTCAAGCTGTAGAATTCCCGCTCACAGCTCATGTGTCTGTATAAATGTATAGACTTACAAGTGTATTGCATAGCAAAATGTACCAAAAAAAAGTATCTGAATATCAACACACAATTTAATTTCCCAGTGCAATCCCATCTAACTTGAATATTTGCAAATAATACCTGAGAAGTTTGTTATTTATTCTCAATAATAAAAATCTTTATCACTAGGCAAATTTTTTCAAAAGATAACCAAAAATGCCACCAGCGTAAAGACAGAAGTCGCCACCTTAAATTAAGTTAAACCAATAGGGAAGCACAAAAAATAGGAGAAAATATTGTACTAAGAGAAGGAAACAGCGAAGAATTGTGTCACTGGAAAGAGAGAGATGGCTTTCAGAATTTGTTCTTTAAATAGCTGTTAAAATAAATGCTACACAATGTTAAGTTTAATGAATGATTCTCCAGAGATAGGAAAAATAATAATACTACAATAAAAAAACAAAAATTGCATCATTTTAAGTACAGACATATAGTCTATGACTTACAGCATCCATTCCGTAAGGATTTCCATTTACAAGGACAACGTGGGAAATACGAATTCAAATGTTTTATGAGGTTAAAAAACCCAAAAGGATTAGGATTACAAGGGCCTGTAATATCAAAAAACTCAAAATAAATGGTGGAAATCAAGTAGCCATCATAACAGATTCACTTACCAGTATCTGAGATGTACGCGTGGAGCTGAACTGTCTCATCAGAAGGGACGTTCGAAAGGTCATCCAAGGACTGCAGGGAGCGGGGGGGAAAGGGGAGAAGGAAGAAACAAGTAACAGACAATAAGATCACAGACACATCTCATTTGAGACAGGCTTTTTCATTCACCTATTTCATTCACAAATTTCCAGTTCACTACTCTAACAGAACAGCTTAATGCACCGTAACAACGCGTAATCTGGTTCCTAAAGCCTTTCTCTACAGAGTGCAGGGCCCTTCATGTCCCCTACCAGCCTCTCACAGTTTTGTGATCTCTCCAATATCTGCCACTTTCATTTGGTATCTCAACTCTAACAGAAGTACAGCAACAAGTAGTCTTTTACTGAGCATTAAAAATAAATAAATAGAAAACCTAAACAACCCCTAATAACTGTGGAAATACAGATGTTGTGTAACAGATATTTTGGCTTTATATCATTCTCTTTTTTTTTTTTTCCAAGTGACTTAAAGCATTGTATAAAAGTTACAGTGCACTAAAACTTGAATACTTTCTCTGCTGTATGTAAAAATCTGCAAAAGCTTTTCTCAGAAATGTTTTCCCTCATAAAAAATGGAACCGGTAAATCCCCAGCTGGCTAACTCTCTGTCTTCCTATTTGGTAATTACTGGAATCAAAAGAAGCCTAACGGGTCTTCTAGAAAAACTTTGCTATTACTTAAAATTAATGGATTTGACTACTAAGAATCATATACTAATGACTGCCAGAAGATCAACCCAGTCATTTCTGCTGCCACTCAATGTCTTGGATATGTCCTCCTATTTACTCAAGGCAAAAGCAATACCTAAAGTTCGTACTATAGATCCATTTAGATGAAATCTGCAAGTGTCTATAAATATTTCCAATGGTTTCATACCTCCAAAATATGCTCTGTTGGTTTAATGTAGTAGATTAATGTGTCAAATTAAAAGAGAGAAATTAAGAGGATATTTTTGTAAAATGTATTTTCCTTAAAATAGTTCTGAGTCTTCCAAATAATCTTAAAATACATTCCTACAGTGAAAGCATAAACTACAAGTGATGTATTTTAGAACAGAAACTTCAGGAAACACTCAACTGCTGTGGCAAGGCACTATTCAGCAATAACTAATATAAGTAAATGAAATGGCTGAAACTTGAAGAGATAAAACAGTTTGTGTTTAATATAATCTAATACCTTTGACATTAGGTATATTCACAGGAACACAAGTTAATTAAAAAGGAAAAATATCGCACTATAACCTCATCTTACTTAGTACACTATCATTAGCTAAAAGTACAGAAATCCCCTGACCTTTGAAGTAACCTTTCCAAGGTCTATTTTTCTTCATGTAACTGACTAACACAAGGGAGCTAAACTATGTGTACAGAAATTTACTCTCGACATGGAATTCAGCCAGAAAAAACTAATCTACCAGATTCAAACACCTGTAAAAGCACTGCAAGCCCTGAGCAGTATGGACTACAGAAAGTAAAAGTTCTTCTGCATAAACAGAGATTTATTTTGCATTGCTGCTAGAATGTTCTTCGCTCTTCACAAAAATAATACATGTACTTAAATGTAGTTTTCCACAAATACTTTTTTTACAACAACAAAAGTCAAGACTTGGAATTGCCCCATGCAAATATCTATTTGTATTGTAGTAGAGCTTGATAAAGGCTTTAAGACTTTATAGCTTAGTGTGGAAAAGAGGAGATTATCACTAGCCAGAGGAGCCACTGCAATGGCAAATCCCCATCTGAAAACACAGGACTTTGGTATGTCAGAACGTTCTTAGAAAAAGTACTTGAGGCATTTGAAAGATCATTTTAAGACATTAGTCAGTTAAAAGAATCTCTTGTGAAATGCTACTGGAAGGGCATGTAAATTTATAACAAATATGGCTACATTAAGTTTTCCTTCTGCATCTGACAGGAGTTTGTGTAAGTTGTATCAGGTGACCACCTCCCCCTTGGCTTTGTATTCCAAAAGGCAACCAAAGGAAAGCCATGGGAAAAAAAAACCCTCCTGCTTCAATAAATAAATAAACCAACCTCACAGACAAATAACCCTCACATGGAAACACACTGACATTTATGTTAAATGCATTCCTGGACAAAATAAGCTCTATTCCTTCGCATGCAAGCGTGATCTAACCATTGTACTGGAACTCCTAAGGAGCTACGTCTTCCAGGACTGAAGGAGAAGGGCCTAAGAATCACATAAGCCAGGAAATTGCCTGCAGACTGCAAAACTTTCTAAAACTAAAAGACTGGGAAAAATCTTCTCATATGCACGACCAAACCTTGCATACCACATGGCTCAACTACATAGAGTCTGAAGAAAGAAGAGAGGGAGGGAAGAAAATACATCAACGGTTTTATGGTATTTTGTTTTTAAATAACTGTGATTTGATTTCTGGTTTAAAACACTTTAAGCCTAATAAGATCTCTACAGGAGAGACTACTTGGAAAAAGTTGGGCGGAAGTATTCAGTATTCAGCCACCAGTACATGCGGAAGCATATTTCAAATATTTAAGTACATTCGGGTAACCAAGAAAAGGTTCTGATAAATTGACGCAGTCAAGAATTGCTTGGAAAAAAAATACCAAAAAGTGAAGCTGGTCAGATTAGAACAAAGATTCATATTTTTAACAGATAAACTCCAGATACTTTCATGTTTCTAAATCAAAATTAAAAAAAAATAAAACCACACACAAAAATCTAATTCAATGCCTCTCTTAAAGTCTACTGAATTTAATCCTTCAAGATTTCCATTTTGTTTCATCTATTATTACCTAACTCTAAATTCACATCTATTTAAAAAAAACCCAAACATGGATAAAAAAAAGTATTCTTTGCATAAATCAACTGCAGATCATCACCGTTTCTGTGAGAAAATATGCAAAAATTAATTAAAACACAGTGGAAAGTACAGAAGGGACAGTTTTATCTTACAGATGGATACCTTATGTGTGTTTCAATCTGATTCCAAAACTTCTTCTGAACTGAAAACTGCAGTGAACTAAAACCTCTACAGTGCATTATTTTAACTATTTTATAACACTTTTCCTACTGTTGGAGAGGAAAAAAAAAAGAATAATAAAAAAAAAATATCCGAGCACTTACCAGATTTATGCTGCCAGTAGGAGACCCATTGAAAGATTCTGAGAGCAGCAAGAAATGGGAAAGAAAAAAAAAAAGAGGTTAGATGATTTTCTCCAATGTAAGGTCATACACAAGAAATAAAAGTGCAATGACAGACCATTATGGAAAATAACAGACAACTGTGGCACGGGGCAAAATGCTGCACCCAGAATATAAGGACTTTAGGTTTGAATAAAAACACCTATAGGAAAACATTTATACATCTATAGATATCAAATAAATACTCCAGAAAACATTCATTTTTAAGCTCGTATCACCACATGAAATCGTGTCATTAAGGAGTCAGTTTAACAGTTAAGCAATTTCCATTAGATTTGTACTTCAGTTAACATGAAGAATTATTTTAATTGCTTTAAAAAGCTACATCTCCTATGTACATTCAATTTCTATTTCCAGATGAAGCATATAGTTACATACTAAAACATGTTGAAGAGTCTCATTTTTGAGGAAAAACTGAGACGCGTACTTGTTTTAGCAACACACTTATTCCCGAGACTTGACAGAAAAAGTACACGAGATTAATAAAGTTACTACAGAAAAAATCTAACTATTTTACTCCCAAAATTTTCAAAAAAAAAAACCACAAGAAAAAAACCATTCATTTAAAAATCAGAGATAGTACAGGAACCTTTTCATTTCTCAAAACAGTGGAGATCATTTTCTTACTTTCGTTTTGAAGTAGAATAAAGAATTCCAGGAAATCCCCCTTAGACATCGAGCTCACCTCCCTCCCCATCATCCGATCCTCTGAAACTAGGATCCTTCAGCATATCCAGCTCAGCCAACATCCGCACATACAGCACGTTCTGCTTGAACGAAGGGTAGAACCTTTCATCTCGCAGCATCAATTCATACACCTTACGGAAACAAAAACGCCAACCTCAGAAACACCTCTTCCATTTTTTAATTAATCATACAAGCTTTCACACATTCTACTTGACCAGCATCTATTCATTCTAATTACGTGTTTCTGGGTTTCCTTCAAAACCCCACTACAAGTGTCTGAAATTTCAACTCAGGCTTACTCTCAACAGAAGGGTTATGAGAATTAATGGCACTAGAAATACAATACAGTCTCAGAAATCACCTTTCTAAATAGTGAGACATGCCCTTACAGGAAGGGAAGCAGCACATTAACTCTAAATGTGTTGCCTGATCTACTCGAGAGGTGGCGTCCCTGGCGGCAGGGAGGCTGGATTAAAATGATCTCTAAGGTCCCTTCCAGCTTAGGCCATTCTATGATTCTATGATTCTAATAATAAATGCTTCTTTCCTCTCTTCTTAATCCTTCCAACTGCACTAAACTAAATTTGGCCTTTACTCACTTCACAAGTTCTCTCTCAGAGTCCTTCTTTGATGATAAAGTATAATCATAGACCTACAAAAACTTCAGGGAAGGGAAGAGAGGAAAGATACCACATACTACCTTCTCACAATTTTCCAGTTTGGCCAATATAGTTTAACCCTATCACCTCAAAATGTTACCTATCTAGCCTATATAGTGACAGTATATACATATATACACACACATCTCTATACATAGTGAGAATTCATAATGTCTGGATACTCATGTCAACTCTAGAATATTTAAATTCTGATTTGTTTTTTCATGAAACACTTTTTACAAGTGCTATCACCCAGTAAGAATGGGTAAAATTCTCAGGCATGTCTGAGGAAGACAATTTCTTTGCTAACATGAGAAATGTATGTCCTTCAGCAGAAATCACACACAACATTTGTAACCTACTTCGAGCAACACAGACTTCACAAGGTGCTTTCATCAGTCTTAAACATGGGCCTGAAGTACAACAGAGGGATTCTAAGTTCTACAGCTCATATCGCTATGAATGAGAACATGGAGTTAATGACTTAAAATAAGAACCTCTCAGAATGGGTGTCTATTTACTGCCAGAGTATTAATAATTCATTTTAAAAAATTTATTTATTCATGTATCAGACTTGAGAGATGAAGTCTACATATGCAGGTAGTAGAAATACTTTTATTTTTAGTACTTCAGTTGCTTTTGAGCACTACACTGTGCAGGCTTGCAGAAACAGAACAGCCACATTAACCTCTGGAAAGATAATTTAATATGGTAACATACTTACATCCACCTTTGAAAAAGAGAGTTAAAACCATATCAAAATTATACCACTTAATTATTCTGCTCAGGCACTCTTCTTAAATTGGCGCACGAACACAAATAATAATCCCATAATTCTAAATCATGCTTCATAATTAATTTCATACAGGAGACCTACTCCTTCTGTCTATTACTTTGAAAACCACGGGCTACATATGGCTAAGCAGAAGTTGGCAATTTAGGGTATGATTTTTATAGAATAAAAAAAATGTTAAAACAGGTTTTAGGTTTCAAGTATTTGAGCTCCTTCCTCCTTTTTCAATGGCTGTAGTGACATTTAATACTATATAGCATTAAAAGTTCTTATGAAATACAGGATGAATAGAGTATACCTTTCTCTGAATGTCATCAAAGATTTCAGGTGTTGGATCCTCGTGGTTCAGCGTTTCTGCCAGTTTTGCTACTAAGTTGTCATCAATATTAACTCTTGGGGATGCCTGTCACAGAGATGCAAATCAACTTTTTCAGCATAAAGTAAGAAAGTTTCTATTTTCACTAATAAAATCCAATGCAGTTCTGCAATTCTGTAAGTAAAGGTAACTACTTCTTGATGAATATCTCTAGAAACTTCTAGAATACACAGTCTTCCTCCTTCTCTCAAAATTAAATTCAGTTTGTATCAACACTCAGAAATTTCAGGATTATATATTAAGAATCACCTCAAAAGCAATTTACACATGTTATTTTGAGGCAATAACCAAACCATATTTTCTTGGATTGAAAAACATATTTTATGCATGAATAGAAAGAGGTAGATTTGGAAGTGAAGAACAAGCCAGTAAGAAAGTGAATGAAGTCCTGAAATACCTCAGGAAATGGTATATTTGTCAACTCCGCCAACTTCTGGAGAGATTACCAGTAGCTGTAATCCCGGTGGCTTTTCCTGCAGGCTGTTCCAGCTCCCAGCACACTAACTGTGTCAGCCATCAGATTCCCAGTCACTCCTTGGGCTGACATATTTCAAACCCATTAAGCACTTTCTCAGACGGGCCAAGTTCACACACTCTCCCCATTTTCCGGAACGGAGGCAGGGAGCCAGCACTGAACCAGAGCCAACACAGCTCACTCGACCGCACAGCTGAGAGGCTGAGGTTATCAGCTCGGGTCTAGATGGAGTGTTACGTGGTTTCTGACCTCAACCTGGTGAGCATTCACTCAGCTCAAAATCCCATGAGAGCAAGCTCTACGCAGACCTGCATGTCGGTAGACTGCTTGGGTGGAAAACCAAATTGAAAGAAATGATGCAGAAAGAGGAGCATTACAAGATATTTGAGGGATAATCTTCTGAGAGAAGTTTTTGAGTCCAGAGCTGATTTTTATGCATGCACAAAATCAGAACAAAAATGCTTTGTTAACACAAGTTGCTAAGTGTCTTCTCTCCTAGGAGGCTCAGTTATTACAAGATTGCTGGAAGCATTCAGGGTTACCCTATTGAACAATGCCCAGCAGTGATACTTGAGCAATTTACACAGATAATTAAGAAGAGGCACATTTGAAAACCCAATCTTAATCCAAGTTTGTACAAATACTGGTTACTTTTTTTTAAAAAACCATTCACAAACACTTTTCTTCTTAAGAAAGGGCAAGGGTGGAGGGCAGAGTAGAAGGAACGGAAAGGACAACATACACAACAGGACAGAATAAAATTCTGTCTTCACGTTTTCTCTATTTTTTCTCTGTTATAGAAAGCTAGCTTCTGAGGAAGACATTCAGTGCATTTGACAGGATAGTCAGTGCCAGTGCGAGCCTCTCTAAGCAGAGAGGGGAGAAACAAAAAACAACAAAAATAAGACATTATCTTACTGCTTGGCATAAGGAGAGAAAAGCTACACAAGCAACAGCTTAAATGTAAACCTGTAAACAGCTTGTGCTACATCACATCCGTTTCATATTAATCTAGCCATAACAAAGAATAAATTCCAAATAACACAGAAATAACTTATTCCTACCTTTTCTGATAAATATTGCTCATAAACTCCGAATGCAGCTGCTCTTAATAAACCCTTGGTTTGATTAGTCTGATGTTTTCCATCTTTCTGCCGGCTTTGAAGTACCTCCAGCTGTTGCTGTGCCGTAACCCTGTATCCTTCCACTGTCATCCAGAAAAACAGATGTGCTTGGCCACCAGTCTGCTGCATGTAATCTACAGAAAACAACCAACACACAGTCATAGTTATCGTTGTGCATCTTAGAATCAGAATTCTTTATGATGTTAACTCCATGACCTGGTTAGGCATCCGGAATACTTGTCATCTAGAGTTTAAAAAAAAGCCAAACTATATGGATATTGGTGATAATCAGCAAAAAAAACCAGGAGCAAAGCAGGAACCAAGCACTGATTCCTGAAATGCACATGTTAAAAGTGAACCTGTTGTTACTCTGTGGATGGAAAAGGCCTGTACAGCATGACACAAGGTGAGAGGAAGTTCCAAATGGAATTCTAACAAAACACACGCATAAAAACACAGAATCATTTAGGTTGGAAAAGACCTTTAAGATCATCAAATCCAACCATAAAACTAACATGCCAAGTCCACCACTAAACCACGTCCCTGAGCACCACACCAACACGTCTTTTAAACCCCTCCAGGGACGGTGCCTCACCCACTCCCCCGGGCAGCCGGTTCCAATGCCTGACAACCCTTCCAGTAAAGAAAGTTTTCCTAACATCCAACATAAATCTTCCCTGGTGCAACCTGAAGCCATTTCCTCTTGTCCTATCATTTGCAACTTGGGAAGAAGACACCAAACCCACCCCAATATGACCTCCTTTCAGGTAGTTGCAGAGAACAGTAAGACCTTCCCTCGGCCTCCTTTTCTCCAGGCTGAACACCACCACTTCCCTCAACTCCTCCTCTTAAGACTTGTGCTCTGGACCCTTCACCAGCTTTGTTGTCCTTCTTTAGACACATTCCAGCATCTTAAAGTCCTTCTCGTAGTGAGGAGCCCAAATCTGAACACAGGATTGCAGGTGTGGCCTCACCAGTGCCGAGTACAGGGGGACAAGCACTTCCGTACTCCCGCTGGCCGCACGGTTTCTGACACAGGTCAGGATGCTGTTGGTTTTCTTGGCCACGTGGACACACTGCCGGCTAATATTCAGGTAGCTGTTGACCTACACTCGCAGGTCCTTTTGCACCTGGCAGCTGTCATGCCACTCTTCCCCAAGCCTGTAGGGTTGCCTGGAGTTGTTATGACCCAAGTGCAACCTCATCCAACTGGCCTCAGCCCATCAATCCAGCCTGTCCAGGTCCCTCTGCAGAGCGTTCCCACCCTCCGGCAGATCATTACACCCACTCATTTTGGTGCCATCGGCAAACTTACTGAGGGTGTGCTCCATTCCCTCATCTAGCTCATTGATAAAAATATTAAACAGAACTGGCCCCAATACTGAGCCCTGAGGAACACCACTGGTGACCAGCCACCAGCTGGATTTAACTCCATTTCCCACCACTCTTTGGGCCCAGCCATCCAACCAGGTTTTTACCCAGTGAAGGGATTGGTATGCCAATCCAGGACACGAGCAGCCAGTTTCTCCTGGAGAATGTTGTGGGAAAGTGTAAAAGGCATTACTAAAATCCAGACAGGCAACATCCACAGCCTTTCCCCTCATCCCTTGAGTTACTTTGTCATAGAAGGAGCTCAGGTTAGTCAAGCAGGACCTGCCTTTCACAAATCCATGCTAGTTGTCCTGCTTATCAATTTGTTATCCTGCACTGCTGTGTGATGGCACTCAGGATAGTCTGCTCCATAACCTTCCCTAGCACCAAGGTCAGGCTGGCAGGCCTGTAGTTCCCCAGATCCTCCTTCCAGCCCTTCTTGTAGTTGGGTGTCACATTTGCTACTCTTCAGTCCACTGGGGCCTCCGTGGTAAGCCAGGACTTTTGACAGATGATGGAAAGTAGCCTGGTGAGCACTTCTGTCAGCTTCCTCCGTACCTTTGGGTGGATCCCATCCAGCCCCATAGACTTGTGTATGTCTAAATGGTGCAGTAGTTCACCAAAAATTTCCCCTTGGATTAGAGGGGCTTCATTCTGCTCTCCAACCCTGTCTTTCCATTCAGGTGGCTGGATACCCCACCAATTAGTCTTACCGTTAAAAACTGAGGCAAAGAAGGCAGTAGAAGTACCTCAGCTTTTTCCTCATCCCTTGTTGCTAATTTTCCCCCCACATCCAATAAAGGATGGAAATTCTCCTTAGCATTCCTTTTGCTGCTGATGTATTTATAGAAACATGTTTTATTGTCTTTTATGGCAGTAGCCAGATTTGGTTCAAGCTGAGCTTTGTTTCTTCTAACTTTCTCCCTGTAAAACCTCACAAGATCTTTGTAGTCCTCCTGAGTTGTTTGTCCCTTCTTCCAAAGATCTTAAAACTCCCTTTTTTTCCCTGAGTCCCAGACAAAGTTCTCTGTTCAACCAGGCAGGTTGCCTTCCCTGTTACCTCCTCTTTCAACACACAGGGACAGCCTGCTCCTGCCCCTTTAAGATTTCCTTCTTGAGGAATGGCCACCCTTTTCCTGGACTCCTGTGCCCTTTGGGACTGCTTCCTAAGGGACTCTGTCAGCCAGGCCCCTAAACACAACGAAGTCTGCCCTCCAGAAGCCCCGGGTGGTAGGTCTGCTGACACCCCTCTTTACTTCCCCAAGAATCAAACACTCCTATCACTTTGTGATCACTATGCCCAGAACAACCTCCCACCATCCCATCACCCGTAAGTTCTTCTCTGTTCCCAAACAACAGGCCCGGTGGGGCACCTCCCCTACTTGGCTCACTCATAGAATCTTAGAATCACAGAATGTTTGGGGCTGGAAGGGACCTCTAAAGATCATCCAGTCCAATCCCCTGCCAGAGCAGCATCCCCTAGAGTAGGTCACACAGGAACGCGTCCTGTTTTAAAACAGGCAGGTTTTAAAAGCCTCCAGAGAAGGAGACTCCACAACCTCTCTGGGCAGTCTGTGCCAGGGCTCCGTCACCCTCACAGTAAAGAGGTTTCTATCATCACCACCAAAACTGATAGATATTTTTAATAATGACATCAGCAGCCCAATTAATTCACAGAAGAGAATAAAAGATGATAAAGCACTAAAAATCTGTACAACTTTAATCCATCTAAAAATTTCCCGATTGTATGATGAACCTAAAATAGTAGATAAATTACTGCTGTATTTTAGCTTCTCAAACAGACAACCTTCAGTAGCCTTGTAATCCTCCAAATTTCAATCTAGCATCCGTAGTCATTAGTTCCATTAGCTTCAGCCGCATGAGTAAAAGAAAGGCTAATGATGGTGATAAGTTCCAGAGTCATTCCAATTACAAACTTCTAAGCAATTCTTGCAATTGTGATGTTCTAAACAGAACAAATTGGTGAAGTGAGAGTCCAAGAAACAGCCAAGAACAGCCTTATGGAGAGATGAGTATTGAAACAAGCTTGATACAAGCTTTTACAAGTACCAAGTATGGTGTTCTGAACAGTTAATTACAGACTGATCTGCAAAAAGGTTTCTGTTCCCTATATTTAGCAATTGCAAGCATACAGTCCTGTGAGTTTGCCTATTCTTTATTAATAAAATATCAGATAAATGAATACTTACCCATAAAAAATTGTAGTGCAACATTGTCTACCAGAATATGGTCCAGAGGGACTGTGCAAAGTTTTCCAAAGTTTGCTGCCAGTTTCACAGTATCTATTTCCTGTAAGACACAGTTTAGTATGTTCACAAGCTTAATTTTTTTTAAAAATTAGTTTTAAAAACTTCTGCTTACCACAAAGCAGACGTAATAAAAATAAATTACACTGTAGAAAATAAAGAAGCCCCTCCACAGTTAGTTATTTTCACAATCACTCATAAGTGAAGATCTAGGTTACAAGCTCATGTTCTCGTAACTATTTGCTCTCCACATGTACGATTTCTGATACTTGGGAAGCTGGTGTTTAACACTCCCTGTCATGTACTATACAGGTGAAATTCATCCCAAATCCCTCACCAGCAGTGACAGCAGAATGAAAATGAATTAACAAGGTAAACTAATTTCAGCACTTGATGAGGTCCAGGTCACCACATCTTAAATTCATCTCTACTCAACTTTCTTCTGTCAATATGACATTCCTTGGTATTACAGTAAAGCTTCCAGGTCCTGCTGTAGAACATTTAATTATTTCAACAGTCAATATGCACAGAAGGTTAAATTATCTTGGAGTCGTATCCAGATCCAATTAAGAGAGTCAGAAAACTAAGTAAAGTGAAACATATTGACTCTTTAGCCTTAAAATATAAACTCAAATACAAAAAAACACGAGGTTCCCAAATTCAACATCCAGTTTGTCTTAGGCTTTTTGTTGAACTCAAGAGGTTAACTATGTCTAAGAAAAGGCAACACATGGAGACCACAAGGCACTGCAAAATAATCAGCAAGTGGTACCTTTATCAAAAAGAAAAGAGATCTTTGCCAAAGACTAAGCTAGGCACTGGAGTTGTGAAAAAGAACTTAATCGAGGTGTATAAATACAAAGATGTTTCATATCCATGTAACATTCTGGTTTAACTCTTGTATTGAGAAGGTAAGACTAGTTTTAAGATGTATAAACATAACTAATAAAACCAGAACCTAAAATGCTCTAAAACCAGGAACCTTTAGAAATTTTTTCCGTACTTAAACTGCAAATACAAGACTAACTTCCATTACACACTGCATCCCTATAAATGCCTATTTCCGTTTGTGTTTTAAAACACAGAATTAAAAAGCTAGACCAAATTAGTAAGTCATTTGCAATTTCAATTACAGAACTAAAAATTCCAAAACTTACTTTTCCTGACTGCAACCTCTGAATTCTTGAATCACATACTTTAATAACATATAATAAACTGTTTATCTGATTTTTTATAGTGTTGATATCTGAAAGCAAAAACAAAGAGGATTAAACAATGCAGATTAGTAAATAAAGTCTTGCTCTGAAATGCTCTAAAAATATCATGCAAAGTGACAAAATACATACAGAACATCAGCTTTTTTGGGGAAGGGTTTTTTAGCAGTTTAAAATACCTTACTAACAGAAGTGAACAAGAAGGAATTTTTCCTCTTTCCATTTTCAAATTAACTGTGAGTTGACTACCCATTATAGCTAAAGTATTACCAGCCAGAAAAGTTTTGATTCAACAGAACATACCTAACCTATTAATCCATACTTGAAAAAAAAAAAATAATAATAATTTTTAAAAAAGTAAACACAAAAACCCACGTATGAAGATTCATGTTTTAACACTTCACATACAATTTATTTTTTAAATAACAAAGTATTTTATACTATGCTGCATCAGAGTTCTGGGGTTTTTTCTAAACTTTTGGAATACGCTTCACAGATCACGCTCGTAAATGCATTTCATGTTTCGTAAAACACCACAGCACTAACCATCTCCCGCCGTATCTAGAGATCGAAGATACTGCAGTTCTTCACTTGCTTTATCTTTCACTGCTTCCAACTCTCCTATATTATCACTTAATTTAATAATATTCATAAAGGCCTCGTAGTTACAGTTGGAATCACGAATCTGAAATGAAGTTTTACAGTGTGAATAATGCAGAACAGCTAAATAAAAAAAATCACGTCTTGCTTTAAGTGAATTATTTTGACCCAGCACTGCAAAGTGGCATTTACTTTGATGCTTCTAAATCTTCCTTTTGATACTACCATTTTACACGCACAAAGAAAAAAGACGCATGCACACAGTTAAAACCTATTTCACACCATCAGTCTCTGTTTCCAAGTACGACGATGCTTGGGAAGTCTGTTAATCTAGTTAATAAAGATCTTACGACAGAATCATACAATGTGTTGGGCTGGAAGGGATCTTTAAAGGTCACCTAGAAGTAGAGAAAACTTGGGGAAAGACCATCTTTCCCAAAACCCAATCAATCATCTGCTGCTAGTCCCTATCTCCTTAACTAAGCAGGCAGAAACTGGTGAGATCACTGAAAAGGTTTCAGTTCGAGCTTTGCCAAGGTCTCCTGCAAGTGTACAAGGCTCCCAATGTAATGGCTTTTTAAAATATAGAATTCCAAAAATAATTCAAACGTTCTACAACGTCACTGTAACCTACTGGAGGAAAATAGGGAGGAAATTACAGAATTTATATCCTTCCTGAAACCCTAATTCAGATACCTTTGTAAATATTATTAAGCTCTTTCATTATATCCTACAACATTTCCAGTATTGGCATAGGGTGAACGTGCTCCAAGGACTCCAACTTGTGCAAGGACGCCCGCTTGGCTGCCGCGATCCCTGGGAACCGTGGTGAACGCGGCACGGAGAGCAGGGAAGGCTGGCAGCTTCGCCGCCCGCGCACGCAGGCGCAGACGGTCGGGTTCCAATGTTGTCTTCACCATCTGAAGCCAAAAAAAGTGACTTCACCCCCCTCTTTCATAAATGCTCGCTTTGATATGGAAATATAATACTTGGTCTGTACTGCAGAAGGACATTGACATGAGTTGCACAGCACAGACAGAATGAAGAGCTTTAACTGAAGTTAATGGAAAAATCTTCCGAGAAATCTGCTTTTAGAAGTAATAGTACAAGTAATGCTTGAACTTCCATATTTTGTAAAAACGTGAATTTCACAGTGTAGAAAGAAGTCTAGATTAACTTCTAATTTTATATTGAAGCTTTCTATTTTATTGCAAGGGAACTGGTATCGAACTGTGGTGTGCCTAGAAACAGAATTAAGCGTCTCATTTTCAGAAACTGACTTTTTTTTTCACTCAAATCTAATTTTCCATCAAAAGGTTCTAAAAGGAGCCAGAATCCTTTTCAGTCATCTCTACTTCTGACCTTAATTTCTGCAGCAATCTTCATTTCCTAAGACTTGTATTAAGTTTTGGAAAGCATTTTCTCTTCTTTATCTTTCCCCCAGCACATTTGCTTCCTCATCCCAGAAAGCAATTACGAAAATTAATATTTGGGACATCACCATCATACCAGAAAGCTTTACAAAGAAGTCAGAATTCTATCTTTGGATGCAGCCGGGGGCAGAGCTCAGTAAATAAAGAATGAGGCCAAGTTACAAATAAAGAACATGCGTAGGAGGAAAGGGGAAACAAAAATTGAAAAGCTCGGTCCATACGAGCAGCAGTATTTTTTCTAATTAAAGCTAGATTCCTGTAAAAAAGTAGCATGCAAACTCTTATAGGAAATGAAAGTGGCTGGCGTGAAGGAAACATTGTGCACATACACTTGAATTCATTCCATACAGAAGAACTTTTACTCAGAAATCCAAGGGGTTTTGCAGCATAATACTTGAATGCGTACTATAATACTACAATATACGAACAGAAGTAGAGAGAACTTGGGGAGAGGAAAAATAAATAAAACTAGATTCATGACCTAAAAGAGTAAGTTTTAATTTGCTTTGCAAAGAAGGAAAAAACACAAGCACAAATAACATTAAGGTGTGAATATTCTGTTACGTTAATTTTACTATAATTATTATTTTCCTAAGTTTGGGCTTTTTTTTGCAGATGTATTAGAGAGAGATCAATGTAAAGGCTTTGTTCCTTCCCATTCAGTTAAACTACTAAGGGTTACCACAAATGTCCCTAAAAGAATCACCCTGAGGTTCCTTAGCAGAAGCAAAAACCCCCTCAATCTTACAATTTGTCATTCTAGAGGCCTCTTAAGCTTTAACGGACACATTGTAAAAACAGTCAAGGAAAAAAACTTCCAAGGTTACTGCTCTGGTTCCTAAACACCCAAGTAAAACACTCAGAGGACTCAACTTTACACTTTGTCATCCACCTGTCCTCAGTCAGGTAACTTTTGCCAAACAGCCACAACACAGAGCACAGATAATACAGGCAGAGTGCGAATTTGTGTGTGTGTGTATACATTATTTATAAATATGTATACATAAAACTTATTATACCAACTAAAAATTCAACATCACTGCTAATATATTCATTAGTAACTTTTTCTACCAGATATCTATCCTGCCATGATTACAGGCAACACAAGCAAAGGTCTATTTGAAAAACATTCTGGAAATATCGTTCATTTTAAATATTACAAATCTTACCATCCATATGACATACTGATTAATATAATCAGGATCACTGAGCTGGTTTATTAATGGAAGAAGAATTCCTCGGGAGAGGATTTCCTGAAAAACAAAATATAATAAATCATTTCACACATTTATTCATAAAGTTAATATAACTGCAACAATTAAAAAATCACTGTGTAGAAGCTAAAATAAAAAATGTGCAATTAAAGGGAACATTCAATAGGCGTTAGAACATTGTCTTTCAATTAATAACAGATAATGTTAATACCTCAGGAAAAACAATATCCAATTTACCACACTTTTCTAGTGTTGCTAAAGGTAAAAGACACTTCACAAACTTTTCACACAAACTGTTCTATTACTAAATACTTAAGAAGAACTGGGATGGCTTTTAGAGTCTGTACTTACCCTGACAAAGTATCGCATGATCTTGTTCTGGAAGTCTCCAGGAGGTAGCAATATATACAGTAAAACCTCACACAGATCCCTTAGGAATCCTAGGACAGAGAACAATTTTATATTATTTCCTATCTTTCCTGGTAGCATAAAAACCAACCTATAAATTCAAATATACAGTCATAAACATTCTTACAATCCAAATGTTCCAGTAACACTTTTCATACTGAATAGAAACAGCACTCATGTTAACCTGAGACAGATTCAGTGTCTCAAAACCAAGCCAAAAGCAGTCCAAATTCCAAGAATCAAAAACCTAATTCAATGTATTTTCCTTATTTAATACATACAGTTTTTTTCCGCTTTGCCCAAAAAAGATAAACTGAGTTTTTTTAATGAAGGCTTTGGAGTGATGATAAGGCAAACAGAACTAAAAAACAAAAAAAGCAGTAGGATCCTGCAATGCTATCCCCGGCTTCCCAGATAACATATTTCCATCTTAAAATTCTTCCAATGAAAAAGAGTAACATATTTCCATCTTAAAATTCTTCCAGTGAAAAAGAGCAATGCTCCATATGTACACACTTCATTATAATTATAAGCATTAATATGTACAAATTAGAAGAACTTTATAGTAAGTGACTGTGCTTTGGAAGTCACATGCTAGGATTTCAGTATATTTCATATTGTCAACACAATTGTTAGCTTTTTAATTTAGTTTGCTATACTAAAATAACTTCAGAAAATAATACTGAGAGACCTTCTTCATCTTTGGGAGAAGTGCAGACGAGATCACGACAGACTTCTTTTTCCATTTCAACTTCAACCTCAAAGAATGTATCTACAAGTTCCTCAGCTTGGTCTATAAAAAACAAAATAAGAAGCATCATAGAAATTTGAGAGTAAACTTGAATTATAAAATAAAGCTAACTGTGTTTCACACACATAAAATACCTGCCTACTCAGGCTCAAATCAAAAAATATTTAAATCACTACGTTACCTTTCATTTGATCGCCTTTCTCTGCTATTCTTTGCTGAGCTTTTCTAAAAACTCGAAGATGAGTGCCAAAGTCATCAACAAGTCGTGTAGTGAAATAAGGCTGCCAGTCCGTTTCCTTCGACCTATTGGAGAAGGACATCCAGGAAAATGAATTATTTTATCCTGAACACAAAGAACAGTAATAAATTTCCACTTTTCTTTACCCCCTGCCAAAACCACACTGACAGTAAACATGGAAAAGCAAAGACATAAATCAGTTTCCTAACTGCCCATCCACTGAAAACAAATCAAATATTGTAAAACACTACTCTCACACCGCATTAATATTTATGCCTGAATTACTTTCAGTTCAACATTAGTATCTGGAGTAGCATTCTGATTCATGACATTAACAAACATCTGCGAAAAATCCTGATATAAACAGTCTAAAACCTAAATCTAAAATTCTCCCCAGGTCTTTTTCAGCCATTTTCTATCGTTTTGGAAGGCATCTAAACAACATAATTTTCTTCCGAACTCGCAGCATAAGCACGAGTGAGAAAATACGTTTCACTTGAAAATTCAAGCGATTTAATATTATCAACAATTGATTGCAGAGCTTACATGGGAGGTAATTAGCACACACCTCCACCAGGTTCACCTCAGAAAACAGCCACTGTCAGATTTCCATAAAACTATTTCCTTACTGATATAAAAAACATGCAGAGATATCCTCAAGATGTCCATGCCTTACTAGTCAAACTGGATGAGCACGTATGCATTCTGGGTTTAATGAAATTAAATGTCAGTGATAGCTTTTACTCTGTGCTAAGTATTCCACTACACGAATTCTCTCAGATCCCTAACTTCAGTATAGCTCAATCCTTCCACAGCGCTTCCTTTTTTGTGTTTTGTTGCCTCACCTGCTCAAAGAGAGAGAAAGAGATGAGGAATTTTGGAAAAGAAAAAAGCCTACTGCCAAATCTAGCTGTGGAAATAAGCTGAGCTGTCTCTCAAAGGGTGGTCAATCAAGAGGAATCAATAAAACAGATCCACCAGTCGCAAAATCAACAAATCACACAAAAGCACTAGGTGGCAGCCTTACACCATTCTCGTAAACGTGGAACTCTCAAGGAAAAAAAAGGCAAAATATCCCACCGTATTCATTCTTACCAGACGCCCACAGGATACATGAAATTAGAGATAACGATACTAATCTAAGACTGCTACAGCTCTATCCAACTATAGTCATTACAAATACACTCGACCACTTTCTCTTGGTAAATGACAACTGCTGCAGCCCAGCGAAACCAATTTAATTTCTACAGAACACCAGAACTGCACAGGAATCGTGGCTATTTTTGAAAAGGTCTATAGTACCACAGGGGAAAAAAAATTAATAAATTTTGCTATAACTTGAACTACTTTGTCACAAACTCAGTGCTTAATACTGTTCAGTGAAGTAACTTGGCCAAATAGACAAGAACACTGAAGTTGGGTAGCCAGGTCCATTTCACACGAGCACAGCATTGCTTGCTGTTAATATACAGTCAGTTTAGCCTAGTTTTCACTATTTCCAACATCATTTCCTCGTATATCCATTATTTCACAATTAGAAGATTTTATTACAATGAATTTCTCCTAGCAGTAAATCCAGCTCTCCATCTTTGACCTCTCTTGCCAGAAAAGCACACTGACCTACATTTTCAAATGAACAGGCAGAGGGGGATAACATCACCTAAAAAGCGCCAAGAATTTATTGTATTTAGGTGGCCAACAACCTCTTCTGAAAACAGATGTCAGTCAGCACAGTGGGACAAACAGGTGAAATCCTTACTGAACAAAGAGGTTGATGGATATAAAGGCACACGGTACCTGGGTTGAGAAATACTAAAGAAGATAAATAATTTCCCAGACAACTTCCCTGACTTCCTACTACTTGATTACACAAGAGCAGAAAAAACATGAAACAATTAACAAATAATTCATTTGTTCTGAATTTGTTTTTAAAGAAAATTTACATATATGACATATTTTGTTCCCCAGATTACCATTCCTTTAAAAATATTCACTGGTTCTACATACTAAAGAGTAATACCAGCTTTAAAAAGTCATCTGAGCTGATATGGAATTTTGAATTAAAGGCTTTCAGACTGACTTATATTGGGAGAGTCCTGCTGTTTATAAGAAACAGACCTACGTATAAAAAGGTAATGATTCATACAACTCAATGCCTAAGTTCCAGAAAAAAGCTACTGAAAATTTTAGACATTAATCTAAATTTTGAAAAGGCCATTTTGCAGAACACCATGACTACAGACATCATCCCCATTCATTCCTTAGGGGGTCAGCAAAACACTGCAGTTCTTAGATCTTAAAATTTTACATGTTTTTTCTGTAAAATGCACCAAACTATGCCACGAGACAATCATTTATCTACTACTATATAACCCGCAGAGGTATCTGTCCACTTGCTTCAACGGTGTATTGATGTAAACATAAATAATCTTACCTGGCAGAAAACTGAACCAGTGCATACTGAAGAGCCTGCCTGATTTCCAGAAGAAACGATTCATCATCACTCAGTGTGTAATACCAATACTGCACATAGTCTCTCAGGGAAAACTGGATTACCTGCCATTAGAAAGGAAAAAGTAGAGATGAACTAATGAATGAAAGGACAACAAAACATAAAATAGCTTTTCTGTGCCTGATAATGAAACAGCAGTTGTCTTGAAAACACAACTCGCACGCCAAAACATCATTTTCGTATTGGTTCGTGTGCGTTCATCGCCGCTATGCTGAGAAACTACAATATAGAGAAAATAGACTCAAATATTGCCCAATATCCTGGTTCATCTTCAATGGGTTTTTACTTACCAGTCTGAAATACGATAGCCTTTCTCAACTACTTAGATATTACATAGTCACTACTTGCAAAAATAAAAAAGGTTCAGTAGTCCTGGTTAGAACTTACCTGTTGCAAAGGCTCATCAATTATATTTGCACCTGTCAGTCTTCTGTCAATCTTAATAGGTCTGGCTTCACGCTTCATTTCTTCTATGCACTTGAAAGAAATCAGGAAATGTTAACTTCGCAGATTTTCGCTATATTTAAAAATCAGCTCTACTCTTTTTTATGAGGTATGTATGCTACCAGTAATGACTTCATACATTTTCCTTATAATTATAGTTCATATATAATTTATAATATCTAGTAGATTAGATATAATCATAGCACCATAGAACAGTTTGGGTTGAAAGGGACCTTTACAGGTCATCTAGTCCAACCCCCCTGCAGTGAGCAGGGACACCTTCAACTCCAGGAGGTATCTCAGCGCTCTTTCCAAACTGACCTTGAATGTTACCAGGGAGAGGGCATCTACAGCCTCTCCGGGCAACAATAATATCTATTTTTTTCAGTATATACTAAATATAAATGAAAATTAGCCTAAAAAAAAAAATCTTGCTTACTGTAAAGTAGCAACTTTACTAAAATACTGTATCAGGAGGAAAAAAAAATTCAAAGTTAGAAAAGCAGGAAGGCAGGACATGAGAGCAGCACAAGACAGCTTGTGAGTAACACTCCAGCTCCACACTTGACTGTGAACCTCCCGTGCAACCTCAGGCAGGTAATTGTTCAATTCTTTGTTGTTTTGGTTTTTTTTCTTCTCAGTGTCTTTATCCATCTCAGTTTATTCTAAATGCCAGAAGAGAAATTACTCTTTTGTACCATCAGTACTTGACAGACAAGTCTTTAAAAAGTAACTGATAAGGGGTAAAAAAATATTTTATAGAAGAACTGTAACTCAGAGCAGTTAATTCCAAGAACGACTTCATCAGACCTGACTTTTGGCCAGTGGTGTACTGAAAAAGAACACCCTTTATCAGAGCTTCTCTGAGAGGACTAATACAGTATCTTTCTACCAATCTAAGATGAAATCTGCAATAAAACCCTTTATTTCACAAAAATAACAACCTACAGTATTGTTATTATTTTATTCTTGGATCTAGAAAGCTACAACCACGTCAAGTGATTCTATTCTATGTGACTCTCCTTAAGTACCTCACATTCAAACCAGTTAACAGTGAATGGCAGTGAAATATCTAAGGCCACAAAACATTCTTCCTCCTATTTAACAAACTGTATCACAAAGTACTTTGTTGCAAAATTCTGTATATTTTTTAAGATAAAAGTTCACGTTACCTTAATATGAATCAAGTTAATTCATATTTAAACATTACTCCAGCTATATACCCATGAATTTCCAAAATATTTTCGCCTTGACAGTGTCAGAAATACCAAGGCAATACAGAATTGAACGACTAAATACTTTTACTTAGCATGGCATAGTTCAAATTGCCAGACAAAACTGTTAAAAGACAGGTTTGACGCCTGAGGATTTCATGCATAAAAACGCATTTGGAAAACAGAAGAAAAAGCAGCAGCTGGAAGAAAGAGAGAGAGGGGCACACAGAGAATACGCAAGGTTACTTGCTGAAAAGCTGCATGTTCAAAGGCTCACACAAACCCGCTTTCAGTCCGGACTTTAGAAAGTCATCTTGTCCAACCTCCTCTCAGAGCAGAGCCAACTCTGAGATTATACCATTCTTTCACACTCTTTTTTCTCCGGTGAAATGTTTACATACATATACCAACACTCTGAATTTTATATGTCTGAAAACACCTAGAATTTACAATTTTTGCTTTTATTTCATTGCAGCTACAACATCTGACTGTAGCTCTCACCTGGAAACAAGCCTGGCCTTCCAGACTTACAGGACGGACTTAAAGGAAGGCCCCAGCACATCTGGAGGAAACTGTCCTATTTGAGCGTCAGTTCACACCCAAAAGAGTCTGACATACTCTACCAGTATTACATCACTAGTTAGGAAAAATTAGTATCAGTTGTATCGTTCAAATTTACACCTATTTTCTTCATTTTAAGCAGGCAGGAAGCACTTAAGAGGAAGGTGGGACATGGGCTCTACAGAGCGAGAAGCAGCACAGGGTGAAGAAACCCAGGCTCCACAAGCACGTAACTGAGTAGACTTCCGATTTCTGCTTCACTGCACTAACAGACATTTTTTTAAGCCCGTTTTTCCAAACTATGCTAGGTAACCGTTAAACATGAAAAATGCCTCATTTTCTGTGCCACTGTCTCCCAAATTGCAGTGCGGCCACAGGCTTTCATGTCTGCACCAAATCCATACGTACCACGGCATACGGACCAGCTGACACAAAATAATGAGATTCACTGACTCGGCAGGGACGAAATATGCAACCAGCACTTGTTATCTTACAGTAATTTGGCAATATCGTACCCAACCTAATAAGTTGCTGTTATCTTATAGTAATTTAGTAATGTTGTATTCAGCCTACAGAAACTCCTGTCTTTGGATGAAGCGTAGGAGACATCAATTATGATAGCTGAACATTCCACACTTCTGTTGAAGTTGGACTGAATTGATAATTTTTATTGAAAGTAGCACTCCAGTTAAGAGCTCAGAAGGCTCTAAACTTGCCTTTCATTCAACATTATTTTAATGTAAACCTGCAGACAATTGCATATCTTACAGAGCCAGTACATTATGGCACATCAAGTACATTATTCACACAAAAGTTATATAAAGCAGACTTGCAGGAAGAAAAGCAAGTTTAATCCTACTTTAACGTCCCTGTGTGAATGGAAACAAAAAAAATGCAGAAAGGTACATAATCTTCTATCAAACTTACATAACTATTTCTCCATGTGAGGCATTCATTACATATTTGTTAATAAGCATAATAAGCAGCAATCAAGGAGCCTACCAACCTCAAATCCTGGGTTCTAACTCAGTCTGGTGTATTCTACGCACTATTTCCATCCACATTTTGGTTCTCCAAATTATAAAGCATTTCTTTAAAATCAAGCGTTTGAACATTCCTCTTAGTCTAAAAAAATCCCCAAACAATAACAACAAAAAAATCTCAAAATTGAGAAAACTCTGACTGCTTTTGGGGAAAAGAGCTTCTTACAAAGAATGCGTATCATCAGATTACTTCTCAAAATACAGTATCACAAAATAATATCATATTAGGTGAATTCAATTTGTACTTGGTTCCTGGAGGAAGCATAACCTGCACATTAGCCACTTGAAAGAATTTCATTCAAGACTACAAGGGTTTCAAACATGAAAACAATTTCAAGTTAAAAATACTACTTTCCAATAAAGATAAGTCAGCAGAAACTTAATAGAGAAACAGCAAATGGGGATCCACACATTTGGTTTTGGCTAGGACTCATCTCCTGCACTGCTGCTAAAAAGCTCAGCTAACCTAGATAATGTAGTTTTAATGCAGTGGTAAAAAAAGAAATACAAAACGCTACTGTAGAAGACAAACAGATTTTAGCTGGAGAATAACTTCAAACAGCATTTGGTAAACCATCTAAAAAAAAGCCAAAAAAACAGAACACCTTCTTTCTAAAATCCAGAGATTAATCAAGACAGGTCAGCTGAGAAAAGTGTCATGTCAGTAATCCACACTCAAACCAGAAGTCAAACTACTGAATTTGCAAGAATTACACACACACATTAAAAAAAAAATTACATTTTTTTTCTCTTATAAAGCAACTAGAGGACACAAAAAGCTAACACTAATGAGCTCAGAAAAGTAATATTAATGCAAAAAAGCTTCAGCAATATGAAGGAAATCTAAAAGAGACAAAACTTCTTGTAAGTCTGCTCTCAAAACATGAGACATCAGCAGCACTCTATAACCCACACGGTAATTACTAAAGTCTATTTAGCACCTAGAACCTTAGTCCCCTAAAATGAGGTTTATTTAATGGAACACAGTCATTAATTGTTTGCTGACTTTTTCAGCCTTAAACTTTGTATTTTTCATTTGGGCCAGTGACATTACTTTTGGTTTAGAATATACTTAAGTTCCAGATTTACCCCAACAGGTTTAAAGGCTTAAGTGAAGAGGCCACTTACCAACGGAGCTAAGAACCAATCACAAAAGAAGTTCTGTGATTAGAAAACATACTGCTAAAAAACAAAATAAATTTCCAAGTGCTACTGCTAAGGAAGTTGAACACATACACACTTTCATAGACAACATGGAGTAACCTGACAGCTCAGAAAGGGCAGGATGTTTCAACCAAAACATGTTAGATTACATAATTAGTAATCTCCAGGTTGAAGCGTTTTCTCTGTCTTGATGAATGCAAATAGATTAGGCCAAGATATGTCTGAACTTCTGAGCTGCCAAGAGGTTCATAAACCAGGAAATTCCTAGAAATTCTTCCTCTTGGCTATTGAGAATTTATTCTGTACTGAAGAGATGCAGATTTATCCATTTAGGAATCTTGGATTTAGGTCCATCAACCAAAATTAGGTACCTACTAAGAACTCAGGGGGAAAAAAAAAAAGAAAAGAGTTGAAAGGGGGATCCCACTGCTGCTCCACATTTATCTACGCATTTCCAGGATTTTTGCTTGGTCTTAAAGATAGAGATAATTTCTACACCCCTGAAGTAATGTAAATCTGGGCTCCATTACAGTTTAATATTCTTAGTTAGGCAAGCAACTTCAACTTTCTGAACACAAGCAATCCAAAGAATCAAAACTGGTGAGACTACTGATCCAGTGATGGGAGAATCCTAAAGAGTCATGACAATCCTGGAAGAAAAAACAAGTAGGAGCTACCACTCCTACCAAAAAAACCCTACAAAACAAAGAAAAAAAAAACCAAAAAACACAACACACACATGTAGTCTAGAAAGGAACGGTTTAGTAAAACAGTTTAGTAATTTCCTCACAGACAGTATTAGCCAGTTACTTCTTTCTTATTTCTAATAATGAAGTCAGAAACTTGAAACAAACTCGCCATATATGCTTAAAAAGCTTGTATTTCAAGAAAGAAAAATTCTGCATTTCACTTGCATATTGCAGTTAAAACATAAAGGCAGACTCTCCTGCCTTGGGAGATGGGTACAATTCTTGCATGAAAACTCATGATGAGTATCATTCTAATTTTCAAAGTTAGAAAATCTAATCTACAAGTTCAGACCAGTAAACTCTCCTTACCTTAGGGATCCCAACTGATGTACAGGGAAGAAATGAATGTTCACACTGCTCAAGGTATTTTTCTGAGTTGCTTTTTCCAAATAAAAGAGTAACCACAAAACCCCTAAAATGGAAAAAGAAATACCAGTTGAAACAAGCCATCTTCACCTCCCACCCCTTGAAAATGTTTCACAGAGTTCTAAAACGACAATATGTGACAATTCTCACGGTTCACTCTCCGCGTACAGTGTTCTTTCAGTGCAGGGTGCCTCTCCACATCACTGACACGATATTAAGCATGAAGTTTCCTCGCCCTGTGTTAACACTCCTGATCCATTCTGATCACCTGGCAGATCTGTACAGCACAGTCTATACCACATAGCCTGTCACACGGTGTCAGCAGGTCACCTACACTTACAAATCCTAGTCCACGGAAAGGGGGCTGCATACACAAGCTGCTCTGGTTGTATTTATACAAAGATTCTTTTTACTTCAACAGCGTGGGGCAATAAACTCTTTGGAGATCCATTTAAGCATTGTGGAATAAGACACAAAAACACAAACCAGAAAGAAACTGATGTAGTAATAACTGAGAGCAGCACATGCTTAAACAAGTAGTAGGGAAGTTTTCAACTGGGAATCTATTTTAAGCTGCAAAGAAATAAAAAATAAAAAAAAAAGGTAGCCCTGCCAGGCTGCATAAAGAACAGAATGAAGGAAAATGTCTAGAGGATAACTGAAGTCATTATCTTCTCCCCTTTTACAATGATACTTAAATTATGACTTATAGTGAAGCAGGACAGCAGTTAATTTTATTATTATTTTCTTTATGCTATAACGAAGGCATAAGGGAAAAAGCAACCACTACAAAAGGCTCAACCTTGCTACAACAGCAGTAATTTATTTACAGCTTATGACACTAGGGCACAAGAAGATATGAATATAAAGCTCGTTTCACTAAGATACAGATGAAAAACTAAAAGCTGTGCCAATTATAACAGAATCAAATATGCAGCCTCTGAAAAGTCAAGCATTAAAAAAAAAAAAGAATATGCTCCTAGCCTGCCACTCAGACCAGCCTGGGGATGGCTAAACACACAGAACTTTTTACATAAATTTCAAAGCATTCAATTTAAAGACCAGCTGAGCAATATTTCTGACCACAGGAACTCAAAGTTATTCCAGGCTTGAAATGTGCTGAAATAATCCATTATTTCAATATAGATTGCTGTTGATATAAGATATGGTTAGAAGAAAATTCCTAACCAAGGTAAAACGCGCCACTCAAACGTTTAAATTCCCAAGCTGGGAACCATTACTTTTAGTGCTCCAGAAGCTCAGTAATTCAGAAGCAGGGAGGTGGACGTTTATACCTGAACATCTCCAGGACAAAACAAACATGCAAGCTACACAAAATTATTATTCATAGCTTGATAATGCATAAGAAAAATCTCTACTTGATATTTTTGATTCCCTTACAGCTGTCTTTATCTGCCAGCCACATGAACTTTTTACATATGAGAACAAAAATAAAAGCAGGTCAAATTCCTCTTCTGTTCCAAATGCTACCCGATAGCTTTAAAAATCCTAACACCAATGATGCCAGTAACGTTGCAATTCAGTTCAAGGACAGACCTTGCTTAGAAAAATCTCACTTTTACTATGCTTAAAAGTTGACTAGTGTTTTAGGCGTGGAGGAGTGTGTTTTGTCAATTATTAAAAAGTTTGGGGTTTCTTTTTATTATCTACCACTTTTCTATTATAATCTTCAGACTTCTTTAAAAAAACCCCAAACAAACAAAAAATACAAAACAAAGAAACCCCAATCCACAGAAAACGCATTTTGGGGTGACCTGAAGTCAGTTTTAACTTCAAACATACTAACTTTATAATATTAATTTGTTTGTTTCTAAGAGAAATACGACATATTTTGCATAACTTCCCAGGAATCAATTCAAAAAGGGAAAGCAGGGAAGAATAATTCAGATATAAAACTATCTGACCTAGTTAGCACTCATGGTACCGTATGCTGAACATTAAAATTTCAAGTACATGTGTCACTCTGAAAAGGATTAACAGCGTAAAAAAGGGGCAGATCACAGCCTCAGTCCAGCAGATGTATGTTAAAATAATAAAAATAATTAAAAATTCTGCTGGAAAGGCTGAGACTTCATGTCTCTCTCCATAAGTACACACATCACGGGGAGATGGATACAAGTTCTGCTTTATCAGACACCCCACCACAAGATGAATTTATCCGAAAGGAGATCGATGTTCACTGACTGGCTCCCAAAATGAACCAGCGGGGCAAAAGAATCGGAGCAGAGAGGGATCAGGGCCGAGGTGAGGAGGAAGGAGCTGGGGCACTGGAGGCAGTCTCGGGGCATCCAGCCGCAGCTGCCGTCAGCCACGCTCCCCGAGAAACTGCTGTGACTGTCAGCTTGGAAAAGTCAAACAACCGCAACTGAGCAAGACAATGATAAGCTTTAAAGAAACGATTACATCCCACGTTATTTTTCATACTGCAAATACTAAGGAAGTGGTAACGCAAAACAGTAAATCAATGAACTCTTGCCCTTTGGACGAACTCTTTGCCCTGGACTAACAGCCAGAAAATGTGCCAATGATACGTGTATCAAGACTTAACAAAACAAAAGCATTTACTCTGAAGTTAGTTTTACTTTAACTAAATCTTCACTCTAGCAGACCGACTATTCTGATTTCTCAGAGATGGAATTACACGTTTAACATAGCTGAAACCCAAGCGTAGCAGCTCTCATTCTACCCACTAACCTCTTTTACATTTTTTGATGAGACGTACAGGAATGTACCTACATTCTGCATCCAATAAGAAGGTTCAAATAGCATTTCAAAGGAAGGATAAAAAAAAAATACTCAAGACAGGTCAAAAACCCCATCAGAAGTCAAGCAGGTCTTGAAGAGCCTAGAAATGTTACGTCTTGCAGTTTAGTTTGAGGGGGGAGGGGAAGAAGGAATATTCCACTAATACATTTAGACTTGGCAATAAAACCAAACATAATAATTAAAAGCAAACATAATAATACACAATACTAGTGCTGTTTGCTCCCTTCCTGTCTATGTAGATAAAGTATGAAATGTCTACAACTGCTGAACTGATCTACTGGTTCAAGACCTGGCCAGATGTAGCATCATTTCCACACACCCAGGAAAGCATCCACTCACTTTCCTCAGGAAGTATTTTGGGTAGAAAAATGAGATTTGAGAAGGAAACTGGACATAATTACTTAATAAGCACCTGGAAAAAGAACTGACATGGTAATAGAAAGTATGAGCCGAAGTTAACATTGATTTTATGTATTTGTCCTCTAACATCCGTTGCAAATAGTTACTTTTTTCCCCCCTAATCAGAAATGGTTTCTTTGCCTGGTCAAAGGCAGCATAAGTACTATTCAACAGCAGAAAAAAAATTACTTTTGATAAAAATTAAGATTTTTTTTAAAAATACATAGTTTTGCTCATAAAGAGGTGCTCAAACGTGAAAATATTAATTGCACAGAAGTCACTTCAGATTTTCAGAGCAAATTATTTGCTAATATACATATTAAAATATTACTTCCATAGTAAATTATACAAAACACTACTTAGTAGTATACTTACCCACCCACAAAGCAGAGGATATAAAATGCAAAATAAAATATAGCGAAGGGTCCAAAAGTTACTAGAAAAAGCACAAGGCCAAGACTTCCCCATCCCCATATGGAAAGACTGGTCTGTAAATAAGAACACAAAGAAAAGAAAGTTAACATGACATTCGTAAAACTTCGAGTCTTCAAAGCAATATTTGTAGTCTCTACAAAGTTTGATATGCTTTACCTAGATATGAAATGAGTTGTGTTTGATGAAATAAAATTGATATTTTCTAAAAGCATATTGTTATCAAGTTACATTAATCATGTCTCATTTCAGATCAAACTATCACCCTTTAAAGTGTCATACTTTTCTTCTCATTTTGTGCATTTCTGCTTCTTGAGATCCCTTTTTCCCCTCCGTGAAATCCTCCACTGCTTTCCAGAAAAATGCAAGCTTTGTAACAGCACAGGAAGAGATGAATACAACCTCATTTCACACAGCTAAACATGGCACTTTCCACAACCGAGCAACACTGTTCCTGCCCTAAGCAGTTGCAAGGCCAAAAAAAACCACTCGTTTCCCCGCTCAAGTCACAAACAGGTCAACAGGTAAACCAAATCCTTAAATAGGAGACGGAAACTGATGGCTACCTCTCATAAATTTTTAAAACAGAAATCAAGAGCATTCAAACAATTCACTGAAATATCTAAATACAATTCTGTTTTAAAATCAGAAAACTCTGTATGTAAGAATATATAAATATATAAATTATACAAGTATAAATATGGTATTTTGTGTGGTTTTGTGTGTGTTTTGTGTGTTATATATATAAGAAGACAGATCCTAGATTCCCAGATCAACATTTTCTCCAGGCAGGCATTATTGCATTCCTAGAAGAGATCTGGCTTCGCAGCAGGACTTCAGCAGT